CCGTTTGTTCTGATGGGCTCGTCACCACTTCCTTGCCGGCCGGGCCATTTCTGTATTGTTCGAGAACGAGCCGTCTGTGGGAAAGTAAAAATTATTCGAGTCGATCATCAGCGTGGGAACCGCGGAGCCAAGTGCAGAGCTTCGCAGCGATTCTTTTTTTATTTCCTCGGCTTACCCTTCTAAGGTAAGCTCATCCAAGAATCATGTTGACTACCTAGGAACTACTACTGGATCATGCCCAAACGGTAGCCCTTTTTTTAACAGGACAGGCGCGGGTAGTGGCTGATACCAACACAAGTTCCTCTCCCCAGCAGCCATCTCCATGAGAACCTTGGAGCCGCGTTTCGTGGGTGTCGGACGTCTGGCGGGCGATGTACCGATGACTCGACCCTATTATTACTCCATACATCTGAAATTGTTGGAGTCCTCCGAGCTAGCACATCGCGCGTGGCAGTGTTGGATAATACTACGGAGTACTAGAACCAGCACGAATATACTCGGTAGGACCACCCGCAATCCCTAGACGGACTCGGTGGTGACGTATGCCCAGCAACAAAGGGCATGGAGCGCAGTAAATCATTCTTGTACGGAGTACTCGGTACGGAGAACCCCAATTTGCTTCACACCGTACGGAGTATGGACCATCAGACTCGCCCGCGTTGTGCGATTTGCTCCTTGGCAGTCTCGCACATCCTTTTTCTGACCGCCGTGAGGGCATGAGCAAAAGCCACACCTGCGGATTCAATGCCAGTGCTAGATGGGTACGCCTCCCACGCCTACGGAGTAATGCAACTACTCGTAACACTTTACTGTATCGTGCTCTCTTGTAAGGAGAGGTCACCGGGCCGGCGGCAAAGTCAATGCGTGGCGACGACAGAGCAGTGGTGCCTGCCTGCCGTCTAAAGCCATGGTGAAGCCCACCCAGGCCATGACTAGTAATTATGTCGACTACAATGTACATACAGTATGTGCATCCTCGGATAAACGATGCGGCCTGCGTGTTGCACCACATCATAGTGCCAAAGACCCCAGCGAGGTGGAAAGGGGAGACAAGGTTGGAGCCAGGCAAGGTGCACCGCCATCAATCTTGAAGCACGGAAGATGGGGGAGAGAAATGCCTCAGATCCACCAGATGATGTCCTGGAGAAGATTGGCTCACCACGGGCCCTCGGCGGCTCCAAGGCAAATGTCGGGGTTCAAATTTCAAGGCATGACTGAAGGAGTGATTTGGTATGTACTATTCGCCAGACATTGGTTGCATACTGTACAAAACGACGACGTATCGAATATGCCTACCCAGCCAGCCCAGGTACTTGGTAGACGACTATGAAATTGTGGAATACGGCGCCTGGCCTGGGCACTGTTGTGTTTCTGCGTACACATAGATGCAGCACTCCGTACTAACAAGGTCCATGTTTTACACAAAAATTAATTCATGGCAGTAGCGGGACCAAATCTCCATTTGTCCAGGGTTCAGCAACGCCGACTCTCTCTAAAACCGAGGAAGACGACGTTAAATTAGAGATTCGTTCATGGCGAGGCTCACAGAGACCAGCCAGGATGCAAGCCGAGGCCCTTTTCTTCACAAGAGTTGTTGCTGTTGTACATGCGTAGGAACATGAGTGGCTGAAGAGCGTGATCCACGACAGTCACTTGACACATGAAAATAACCGGCGCAACCAGGTACGTAGGGGGTTGACACTTTCCTTTCCTTTGTTGAAGACGGTGAAGTGAATGCCCCGGTATCTCGTCGTCCCAATCCGCTTGTCATTGTGTGTGTCAAGGGTACCTTGGTATAGGTGCGGCATTGTTAGGACATATTGGGACGGCCGCTAACGAGGTCAGCTGGCTTCAATTACAAACACCAAGTACGCAGTGGACGGCAAAGGGCGAGGAATGCCAAAAGTCGCCAGGCATTCCCCGACATGAAACTTTGACGATTGTGCCTTTTTTTCACGTGTTGCGTATGTATTGCCGGGTGCATTTTTGGCCCGAAACCAACAACTTCATGGCATTCATTCATATGTACAATGTCTATACTCGGTATGTACTCCGTACAATCCTCATTATCGCCAGTCAGTCAACACCGACGGCGTGTGTACAACCGTCCGGTACAGAATTATCCAGGAGTCAGCCAATCAACGCTGCATCGTTGCCAAATATGCTGACTTGGGGTGTGTGTTTAGGAAGCACCCACAGGATTGGGACCTTCAACCCATTTTTGATGACGAGACACGCGAACAGGACAATGACGACTGAAATGGTCCATGCAGGGCAGCAGGGTTCCGCCACGCGTCTTTGATATTTCTCAGTAAAAATAGTAATTATCATCTTGGGGATCATTAATCACCTATCACATACATTCATATTGCGGACACGGCGGACGAGATGACGACCTACGGGGCGTGTTGGTTGGCAGAAGATTGCCATTCTGGAATCAGGGTCACGATCCACGCTTGTTGATGAAGATCAGTCGTCGCCTCTTGTTGTTGGCCGTTCACGGCGCGCTCCAGTCTCCAAACTTCAGGGTCCTTCAGCCCGCTAGACCTGTTGCTTTGCTTTCATTGTCTGCGTGTGTGTGTGTGGGTTGCGTGTGCATTGGTTGGTCAGCTTCGAGGAGGACACAAGAGACCAAAAATACCCCAGGAAGACGAGTCCGACTCGGCGCCGCTGCTGCTGCTGCAGACGGTGGCTACTTAGTGACGGGAAGCCAGTCAGACTCACCCTGTTGTGTCGCCTTGGGTCCGTCCGGTTCAATGTTCAATGTTCCGGGTGGGCCAAACGTCGAAGCTAGCAACAAACCGCTGGCAAGCAAGACGTTGGCAATGCGTCTTGACGAAGCCGCCAAGTTCTGGAGGTCCTCTTGGGGATGCCATGTTTGTGTGGGGAAGTGATAGCACCGGGAAACAGCCACGCCGTCGTCTCTGCTCAAGCGCCCACCGCAGGATTCTGTTGGTGCTGGCCGTGGATAATTGCCGAGGATAACGTGGGCGCGCTGCTCAGCATTTTATATTTAGTAACCCAGGAGTCTCCAGCAGGGGAAAACGGGATAGAATGGCCGTTGGTCATGGAGCTGACCGAGGCTGACTGAAGCCCGGGCGGCATGGCGATATACTAGTCAACACGCCGTGCCGTCTGACTGACGATTTGACGACTTGAAGCACTTCCGGCGTCATGTTGCCTCAAGAGGGGCTGGGGCTGGCATGCCCTCACGGCGGAGTCATGATGAGGGGCGGCGTGCAACCTGATATGCACAGGTTGTGATGGGAACGGCGTCCTTGGAAAGACCATGGCTTTGTCCAGCCGACAGCCTACTGTTACGGAGGACCGACGGGGTGCATTGTGACGGCAAAAGGCGGGGAGGGTGAATATTGAAGTGATGGCTTTCACCGCGACGAAGAAACCAGTGACAGCCGGAGGGTGTAGGGTTGGTTTGTTGCAAGGTGCCGTAGTCCTTCCGTCAATACCCTTTGTCGGTAATACAAGGCGTTTCTGGGGCGAATCATTCCCGAGCACGGCACCGCCCAGCATCTTGGTACCGGGTAGTTGCCCAACTCCTAACTCACTCGGAGCAACCTCCATGGCGGTTATATCCCTTGATGCAGGCAGATGCAAAATATGTATGTACATACACACCAACCGGCTCTCGCCGACGCTCCCGGCTGAAGAACGGAAGAGGAGGAGAAGAAAAAAAGTATACGACAGTCCACAGTGCAAGACGTGTTGCTCCCATGCCAGACAACACAATGCGTAGATGACAACTTCTGCACCATCAGCAGGGTAGCGTCGGTGCTCTCATTTCTCCACCGGCGGCTGCAGCATCCCACGAGCTTCGCACACCTCTCCCAAGGCACGAACTCGGCTGTCGTCTGTCAAGGTTCCTCTGTGCAACGAGACCCCTTTTGGCCATGCTGATCCGGGGGTACGGTAGCCCGAACACCAGACACGTCCTCCGTACAACATAGCTCCCATGGTCGGAAGGCCTAGAAGACATCCATCCATCCATCCATCCATCCATGTGATGATACCAGACATCTGGCGATATACTTCAAAGAGCCCTTCCACTACTAGGAGTGACCCCCACTTCTTGGTACTGTACGCGGCAGAACCTTTCATCATCACCCCTCCCCGCACGAAAAGAAAAAGGGAGCCAAGAAAGAAGCCCGTTTTGTCTTTGGGTTTTTTCTTTCGGCAGGGTAGCAGCGGGCGGTACAGTCCCCTTTGAGCCATTCCAAGAAAGGAACCCCAAGGCACAAAGCATGCATGGAGCTTTGGCTGTCTTGTGCCGAATGGTCCTCGGCGGTGCGGGGGCTGCATGACGATGAACATTGAAGACATGGAAACCACTTGAGGGTGTGGGGGGAAGACGACGGGCCATCTTTCTCTAATTCACGTTATCCAATGTGCTATTTCTCTTTTTCCTTCTGTTTAGCCGGTCCGGAAGACCGGGGAGACATTCACATGGTGCGAGAGAGCGTGGGAGGCGGGGGGAATACCCATTGGTAATACGGAACAGGTTGTATGTTGGAAAATGGCTCGTTGGGTTGTGCATGACCGTGACCGACTGCATGAGTGGGGAGGATTGGGCTGCTTTTCCGGGGTACTAGATGGGAAGGAAGGTTTTGATACCTTTTTTTTTTTTTTTGCCATCGAAAAGGGCATCGGAGGGGTGGATTTGGCCGTAGGTGGGATTGTGGCGTGGTGAGTCCTTTTTTTTCTTTCTTTCTGGTTTTCTTGGGATCGAAATCGTCATGGTGATGGGTGTAGGGTCGTGTCTTGGGCGAGAAAGACGAATGGGCTCAAGATTTTTTATATTTTCGTTTTTTATGCGTAGCCGTAAATACTCCAAGCACTTGAACAAATTACTACCGCGACTACACAGCAATCAACCGCAGAGTAGAACCAGACTTGTACATTTCTCCCCCAGATGGAATCTGCGCATGATTAAGATTGGTTGCAAAACTACAAGCTCTACACGCTTGCTCACGCCTTGATATCACCTAATCTTCTTCGTTGACGCATTCCTCCTCCTCGGGCTCAGCACGAGCGTCTAGTCCAGAGGCCTTGGCCTCCCGGGCTTCCTCTTCCTCCTCCTCCTTTTCAAAGTCCTCGAGGCCATTGGCCGTGGTGGCTCGCTTGGCGTTTGTCCTTGCCTCCTCCTCCTCCTCTTCCTTTTCAAAGTCCTCAAGCTCACGGGTGCTGATCCCAGCCGCAGCATCCTCTGCCTCCTCCTCCTTTTCAAAGTCCTCAAGCTCACGGGTGCTGATACCAGCCGCAGCATCCTCTGCCTCCTCCTCCTTTTCAAAATCTTCAAGATCACGGGTGTCGAGACCGGCAGCGGCATCCTCTGCCTCCTCCTCCTTTTCAAAATCTTCAAGATCACGGGTGTCGAGACCGGCAGCGGCATCCTCTGCCTCCTCCTCCTTTTCAAAGTCCTGGAGCGCGCCGAGCCTAACAGCTCTCTTGGCCGCAGTCCGAGCAGCCTCCTCCTCCTCCTCCTCCTTCCTCTCAAAGTCCTCAAGGGGCTCGTCAGCAGCCCGAGCACCGAGGTTGATGGCATCGCCAGCAACACCGCTTGCCGTGTCAACGACTCCCTGAACGGCGCCGGTAAAGGCGTCTAAGATGCCCGCCCGGGCAGCCACGCTACCACTGCTGGATTCGCCTACATCTTGAGAGGTTGTGAGTTATGTACCCTGGCAATGTAGCAGGCAGGTCAACGTACCGCGGCGAAGAGTGCCGGCTGGGGCGGCTGAGACGGATGCCACGGCCAGGAGAATAACAGAAAAGGACTTCATGGTGACTGCGTGTAAAGAAGTTGTGATGAAAGGAAAAAAACGTAGTAGGTAGTATAAAAAGGAAATCAGAGGACCGGCCCAGGGAAGAAGGAAGAAAAAGACTTGGATTAAGCAGCCATCGACGTAGCGGGATACAATGTCTTATATGCCTGAGCTGTCGGAGCTGCAACGAACGTCATGAATCTGAGACGACTCGTCCGGCCCAAGAAACATATTCCCAGTAATGACATGCCGCGAGGCCTGAAGCCTAGCATACTCGGATTTGTCCATCTCGGAACGTCCATAGTCGGGCCCTTGAAACGCTGACGTGACCGTAGCATTTGCGGCCGTAGGAGAGGTTCGCCGGGGCAGCTATTCTCAAACCCCGGGTTTCTGCTTCATGTTTTGAAATGGAGTTGGACAGCCACCCTCGGGAGCGTCTTCGGTGGTGGGCTCTGCACGAAGATGAAGATGGATCGTCGGGCGGGAGATGCTTGTTTCGATGCGGGAGGCGGGCTGAGCGTGTGCTCAAACGGGTTGTGTGAGAGAAGTGGTTCGTCAAAGATCCGGGGTTGGTGTGGATGGTCGGCGATTTGCGGTGGATGCTGGTGATGATGTGAGAGGGTTGATTGAGATGAGAGCCTGCTCAACCTATGGCTACTTATTGACACATCATGGCAAGCCAATTTTTTTTCTTAAAAAAAAAAAAAGAAAAGAAAAGAACAAAGAAAGAATAATAATTCATTGTGAAAAATTCATCATCATCTCGGCAGAGCCACGGAATGAGAGTCTGGATCGTCGCGGGGGTCAGTGCGCAAGGGGCGTTTCGGACACCATTCGACGACGACGCTCACTCTCCTCCACAAGAGCCTTCTCACAAGCCAACAAGAGCGAGGGGACATTTCCTGCCGTGCACGTCATGTTGAGCATGGGCATGGGCATGTAGAGAATGGTGCGTCGGGTCGTGCAACCACGTCTTGAACTCTTGTGTCTCTTGCTCACCATGACGATGAGGTAGAATGTCGATATATTCATCCCCCCGATTTGCCCACCACCAAGGCATACACTACTCATCGCTGTAGTAGTAGACATTATACTACATCATGTTAAATGGCCCCTACACCCACAATCTTCTTCTCAGTCCTTCTTCCTCCGTTTAAGAATCCCAATGTACGCCTCCGTGTCAAAACTCCAGCTCAGCTCGAACGAGTCACCAACATGAGGCACGTCCTCCCCCCTGAACTGGTACCAACCCCCGAGACTTAGGTTTATGTTGTCAATAAAGTAGGACGACTCCCCAGCACTCCACTGGGGCACCTCGACGTACTCGGCGTCCATGTCGTAAAAGACCTGACCGAGCGTGTCCTCGAGCAGCGGCCCCTTTGGCACGGGAGCGCCGCGGTCAATCAGCCAAATAAAGAAGCCGACTTCCGTCAGCACAGCCCGCAGTATCAGGCGAGCGATGAAGCCGCGCGGGCTCGCCTCCCCCATAAGCTCGTCAGGACTCCCGGGCCAGTTTTCGTTCCAGCGCGCGTCGAACTCCAGGGCAAAATGCTGGACAGACGTACGCTGCGCGTCCTCGGGCCCAAGGCCCCGACGCCCGCAGACGGGACGCTCAAAGGCTCGCAGGGTCGAAGGATGCGGCAGGACAAAGCCCGTGTCCCAGCCCTGGACATGGAAGCAAAAGAGGTCCCTGTGCGGCTGGACCATGAGATTCCACGCCGTGCCGCCCTGTCGTACCGTTGCGAAGGCCGGCCGGCGGCACCCGATCCTTTCCCGGCGAAGAAGCGAGTAGTGCTCCGTCTTGTGCTGGCGGTCTGATTCGGAGCGCCTCGCTATGACGTCTCTTGATTCTCGGCAGGCTGTCCAGAGGCCGGCATCCCAGTAGTACGCGGAGCCCTTGCCGGGCATGACGGAGGAGTTGCTCTGCAGGCGACCTATGTGCAAGACGACGTCTCGTCTAGCGGAACTGCTTCCTCCAGGCTGGCCGTCCACGCCGACGAATAGCCTCGGGTCCATACTGTCCTTGTTTCCTTCGCCGTCGAGGAAGAAGTGGTGCAGACCGCCGGCGTGCCGGGGTCGAAGGGCAAGCTGCCAGATGTGAAGCCGGAGCTCACAGGGAAGTCGGGGAAAGGCGTGAAAAGTTGACGGAGCCATTTTGTTCACAGCTCTCAAATCAAACTCGTGATGATAATCAAGTGAAAGTTTCCGATGACAATGTTCAACAAGATGCAAAGACGGAATGGAAAAGGAAAATAGGCAGAACAGGACAGGACAGGACAGGACAGGCTATTTACAAGAAGCAAATCTTACACGCCCAATGCTGCTACTTTAGTTTGGATTCTTCATAACAGAGCTAAACACAACCTTGAGCAACTAAGAAACTCATTCATCTGGCTATTGTAGCAAGTGCGTTTACAGGCGCAGCACTAGGGTCGACCATCAAGGCATCATGTACGGCGCATCTGTTTTTAATCTTTGACGGTGTCGTGCATGTATTTTTTACAAAGATGAACCATCTCAGTTCTAGTGACCCCGGCCGTGCCACACGGAGCCATCTGTTTATTCTTGAGCTATTTAAAATAGCCTTGGCCTCTCGCTACCTGTCCAAGCTAATATATGCACCAGTTCTCTAGACAAAATGGACTTGTTAAACCAAAACTTAAAAGGCGGTTGAGTTACGTAGCACATAACACATCCCATATAAGCTTAGTATAACCTTGGCCCCTATCCGAAAGTCTATATTGCGCCCCAGTTTCTCAAATTCTACTCCCACGAGAGACCCGCCGCATAAGGAGCGCATCTCCCAGAGGGAGGTCAAGGTGAGAGAGTTGATAAGCGTCGGGAGGGAAAGAACAGGACACAAGCAGAAGGTGAAGGAGGAGGCCAAGGACCAGAGTTGGAGCTTCGGCTCGCCGTCTCGGGATATGCTGGCGATGAGCTGCAAGGGTGGGCCATGCAAGACGATCACGTTGGTGTTTGCCATGTGTAAACCATGGCAGCGATCGAGCCATAAGCTGGACAAGCACATATTGGCAGCTATTTAGACGCAGACGAGAACAATTATCATTAGACTTGGTCCGCAGCTTCCATACGCCCAACGCCCCCTCCTTGACTAAAAACTCCTATTATACAATGCAAAACACATTCACTTCCATTCCGTCCATACGCCCATCACATCAAACGACTCCCCTGAAATGCACGCCACCCTACGACATGCTATACGGTACTATCGCTTTATCAATGATGGGGTCCCGGCGCGACATCTTCTCCTTCTCCGTGCCCCAGCGCGACTGGAACTCGACCTCTGCCTCGAGTGCCTCGTCAAACGCCTTTCGACACTCGGCCGGCAACAGGTCCTTGATCTCGTCCGACACGGACACCAGCCCGTTGAACGAAGAGACAAATTCCGCTGGCGTCTCGTTGCTTGGTCGGACAGAAGCGTCGTTTCGCGGCGCGCCCTCGCAGTATGTGTCCATAACGAGGAAATTCCTGGCCATTCTGAGCGGCACCGGTGGGAACTTGACGCTTCCTTTGCTGTCTGCCTCTTCGTCGGGGCTCACTTGCTCGATTCGCACCCGGGTGGGCTGCATTATGGCCGGGTATTGCAGCATGTTGGTGTGAATGTCGTAGACGCCGGCATTGTTGAACTTGCGAATCGCATTGATTCCAGCGTTGAATATGCTACATCATGTCAGCAGTGTTTTCAAGATAGAAAAAGAAAAAAAAATCCAAGGGCAGTCAACTTCACACACCTAGCTTCTCGTGCATGTTCCAGCATCCAATTCTGGTCATTGACGTTGACCTTGCGCTTCTTGTATTCGGGCTTTCCATTGGGCACCGGCACAGACGGCACATTGGTATGATACACAGCACTGGCGCCGTGCCAGGCGACGTACTGGTTCTTGTTGTACTCGCCGGGCACAAAGTGGTCATCGGGGTCAGCAAGCTGGCCCTCAACAGCACCTTCTTCCCGCAGCTGAGCAACATTGTAATCGTCAATGATGCGCTTACCGCCAATAATGATTCTCGCGCCAAACTCCCTAAAGACTGACCGGGCCGTAACAACACCTATGGATCGGCCCTTGTAAGAATGTGGGATAATGTCTCGCTCAATCATGTCTCGCTTCTCGTCGTCGTCGACGATAATCTTGTGCAGCTTTCGGTGCTTCGTGAAGAACAGGTAGCTGTCTCGGAAACCAACACACCGAGCAGGCTCCGTCGACAACATGTAAAGTCGATTTCCACGGCCCAGGACGGTAAAGGTACGACAGCGATAGTCGCGACCGCCTTCCAGGTTTCCCAGCTTGTCGACCTTGGTCTCGCCCTCAGGATCTTCGGGTAGCACGCACTCGTCATTAACAATCTCGGCCACGGTACCTTCGGCGTCGATGACCTGTTCGGCCTTTGGCGCCGCTGGGCCTCCCTTGCGACCACCTCGACCTCTCCACCCCCCGCGACCACGACGTCGCGGCGTATCCTCCGTCACGGTAATCATGGGGTCCCAGTCGGGCGGCTTGTTCTTTGGCGGTCGACCCAACCGCTTTCTTCGAATCACAGGCTGAGGCGGCGGACTGGGTCCCTTGGCCTCGTCGCCCTCTTCCTCTCCTTCTTTCGTAGCAGCCGCTTCTTCGTGGTCCGACGCGAGCTTGGTTTCCTCTTGGTCATCGTCGTCGTCGTCTTGCGCAGGCGGCTCCTCGTGCTCGGAGCCTTCGTCAGCCGCAGCCGCATCAACCATGGGCTCGTCCTCGGCATCGGCAAAACCCTTGGGCGCGCTCTCTGCAGTGTTTAAACTACGCGTTAGTCTTAAACGAATCCTGGTTCTGGGTGCCATGATTGTGTTGGCGAGCCTCTGTGCCAGTCAAGGACACGAGATGAGAGGCCAACGCGGAGAGGGGAAGGGAAAGGGCAACAAAGGACGGCAGGCATCAAAGAGAGAAAGAAAAGAAGAAAAAAGGCGCACAGAGCACACAGAGCACAACGCAAGTGTAATGCGCGCGATCAATGCGCTTCCCTTGCACAAAGACAATGCCGTGTGCGGTTGTGGGTGATGCTGCTTGCGCTCGCTCCATGTAGGGAAAAAAAGATGGAGAAAAGGCCAAGAGAGAAAAGTGCATACCCAGCGCTGCCGATGCCTTCCTAGCAGCTGCGCGACTAGACCGTCGCCCCATCTTGCCAATTCACAGCCCGATATCTCACAGTCTTGGTCCGCTCGTAGGTGTAGGATGGAGTACGCGCGCCAAAGAAAGGTGCCCCAAGCAGGATCAGCTGTAGAAGTTGATGATGAGACCTGGTCTGGATACAACGACAGGTCGACGTTCTGCCCACGATCCAAGGTCGATTTTGACACACGGCACGGTTGGCACTTGGGACGCGCCTTGTCGGATTGCGTGCCTTTGATTGGCCTCTTGATGAGCCTCACCGGAGTGTGTGGATGAAGGCGCACTGTACCACCAGCACTGTACCGTGTGGCCCCTTCCCGGTTTGGCGGGAGACGAGGCTCTCCAGTTTTCTACCACTCAATAATAACAGCTTCACATTTCCATGCGTCGCCATGGTTCGAGCATTGGGAAATCAAATGTACATACAAAATCGTAGCGCATGCATGCATTCATATAGCCCACCCAGTGCAGCTGCCATATTAATTTGCCTAGCAACTCAAAACATCGCACCAAGTAACTAGTTAGTACACAGACAGACACCCAAGCACTCTAGACCCGCCACCCATGCTCTCTGTTCTAACACATCAGACAAAAGCTCTCATCACTCCCCCTGTCCAATAAACTGTAGTACAGTTATATAGAAGAAAAAAAAATAACTCGAAACTCCGTTTGCCTTTCCAGAATTCCATCATTCATCTATGAAGCCGTGTATCCCTTCTCCCTCGTTACAAAGTATCCCAACCTCCATTATTTATCTCAGCCTCCAGTTTGCGGCTAATCAGACTTGGCACACCGTGGTTCAGTACTGTATTTCGTATCATGGAGTCATATCTCTTCTGGTTCAAGAAGAGCTGTCGGCCGTGACGAAGCTGAGGATCCGTCTCGCCGTATTTATCGATATAAGGTGCCGGGGCGTAAGACCCAGACTGTCGAAAAAGGTACACTATTGAGCATTTTCGTACATTCAAGTATACTCCGATATTTTTTTGGCACCTAATTTTTCAAGCGTTAGCCCACCGCACGTATCACGGCTGTCGAATAGGTAGGTCCCGAGCTTACTTGCGCATATGCTGTTGAGCACCACCAATTCTCGTCGTCTCCCGACCGACAGTCTCCGGCTTTTGGCAACAGTTGCTCTGACTGCAAAAGATTTCACCGCAGAACAAGCAAATGACCGGATCTGTGAGGTCTTTACCGGTAGATGGACACCTTCTCCTGATCGACTCTTCAATTAGTGTGTCGTAAGTCTTCGGGAGACCAATCAGTTCGAAAATGCCTGGATGGCTGACCAGGGCAGATTGGCTCATGTCTCCATAACCATTTGGCCAAACAACCTGGTGCTTGATCCAGCCCGAAACCAGGTCGTACGTTGTCGTTGGCCAACCACACGCAAAGGCGTTTTCCGTCATAGAGGCACACATTTCATCAAAACTGGGTAGGCGAAGAGCAGCTGTGAGGCGATCAAGCTCGTCCGAATCCGCATCCTGACTCGACAAGATGTGGCTGTTGAAGTCGACACCGTACTTGACGTACAAGAACACCACACTTTTCCGCAAGAAGGTCAACGCATACTTCTTCACAAAAGTGTACCAGCTTTCCAAAGTATCCACGCCTGGCTGTTGGAAACCCTTATTCTCCCCCTCATTGTCGCTGGTCTTGCCAAAGTTGGCCACCTCGAGCTCCATTCCGCATTTGGTGATTGCAAGCGCAAAGCTGGCAAAGTTGATCATGGCCGGATCCTGTGATTGCTTGCCAGCAAGGCCTTCTATCCACATGCTGAATGGAACGTTGCGCCCCATGTGAAACACAACCTTGACAAGTTCAGCCAGATAACACAGCCTGAGCATATGAGAAATTTCGGCATTGTAGGCCGGTACAAGGCCATATGCGCATTCAACCAGGAAGGTGAATGGATCAAGGCTCAGCAAAGGTGGATAAGCGTCCAAAGGTCGAAGAACCGAAGTAGCTGCCAGCAAGTCCTGGGTTCCAACATATCGACACATAAATAACTGGCAGTGCTGTCTCTCACTGTCATTGGTGAATTCATCTTCAATACGATTGGGAACCCCGTCCGTGTGGCCTGCTCCAACGGCTATGTAGGACGAAGCAGTTTCCGAAAGAACTCGTAGGTGGACGAGTACTTGCTCCGGGATTTTATCCAATAACGTCATGCCTGGTTGGACCTCGACGCCGCGTTGCTGTATTTCCACAGATGATATGGTGAAGCCGATGACTTGAACAAGAGTGTCGCTCGAGTAAAGCTCATCTCCTCCAGTAGCCTTGGCATCAATAGGATGCCGAGTATGCAGCCCATTCACTCGTAGAGTATCTCGAAGACGCCGATATGCTGCCTTCAAGTCTCCCAAAATTTGACTGTTGGGGCCAGCAGCCGCCAGAGAGTTACCTGGCTCTGGTATGCCAGCAGTAGAGAATGAGGAGCTCGCCGGGGTTCCAAGCACAGAAGACTGCGAGTCGGGGTCGTCTCTCCCCCATGAAATATCTGCATCCGGGTGCTGGTTCGTCAGAGTTTCAACCAGACTGCCTGGTACACTTGGCGTGTACATGTTCGGTGGGCTGGGTGAGTCGACCTCGGGGGCCTTACCCCCTTGCAGCCAATATGCCGAACCCATCTTCAGGTCAAGGAATTCTCCAAAAGATATTGACGGTTGCAAGTAGCTCGGGTACGATTCTTCCAACCCTTTCCATATGATGGGAAGAAATGCGTTGCCAAGAGCTTTACATAACGGGCACACAAATTCATTGCGCCTCGTGTCCTCGGGATGATGTCTTGCAATTTGATGCGTATGTCGGCGATTCGTTGCCTCGTAATACATTTCAAAGCATCGATAATGCATCATATGCCCACATCCGCTGGCAACCGGGCCCGGTCTGGACAGATTGGCCTTGAACCCTTTGCCAATGGTTTGGCGTTCAGCCAAAAAAGTCTCCCCATTTAAATTGAGCTTCTCAACCATTTTCCGATTCTCATGCGCGATTCCAAACGGCCGAATGTCTTCGGCAGATCGATCGAGGTTGCAAGGTGTTTGTGAGGCTTCTCTTACCAACTCGGGGTCTTGAAAGTCAGTTTGGCGGAGCACGCGGCTTTCATTGAGAAGGGCAAATGTGCCATAAAGCCTTCTATCATCTGCGTCCTCCTGGCACAAGATACAAGTCCCTGTTGGATACTTCCAATTATGCTTTCGGTCCTCAGATTGGCCCATTTCGTCCTCATCTTCATCCAAGTCAGAACCCCAATCAATTCCACCTTGGTTCTCCAGAAAATTTTTCTGCTGTTGTTGGAACTGTGCCATGACCTTGGCCTGACGGTTTAAGGCAGCCTTTTTCCGCCTTTCCCGCTCCTCTTCAGCAGAGTTGTTGGCCGGAGAGGCGGTGTCAACACGGTCTACCGAGATGCCAAGATTTACAAAAGAAATCTCGAATGCTTGCGGCCGCTTTTGCCTCAGTCTCCTCAAGACTAGAGCAATCTTGGGATGAACTGCTTTGAACTCGTCCTTGTTTGACATTAAAGTTAATAGTGAAACAATGGTTCGGGAATTGTTCGCTTCCGGCATGAAATTGCTGCGAGCCATGGTGGTGAGAGCAATTTGGACAAATGAGTTTGGCGGCTGTCCAACTGATTCCAATTCATGGGACTTGTCCTCGAGAATGGCAATGAGAATCAGATGGAGGACGACTTGCAAGAACGTCTCTAACCGAGTAAATGGCACAGAAGGTGTAAATTTTTGGGCAACAAGAGGATACAAGAGTGAGTAGTAGATAATTTGGGCAAACATGCCAGTGCTGGTGAACTGCCCCAGGTTTTCAAACAAGCCTGATGGCACAGGCCGGTGCTTGGGTTCATAAACAATCTCCTCAATTGTCTTGCCAGTCTTCTTGGCCATCTTCTTTCGATATGCCATCTCTGACTCCTCTCGCTGATTTTTGTTGTAGTGTGCAATATAGGGATCAATATCTTCGATGAATTCTTGACGCAATTCGAAAGTGCCTACGTCAGAAATGCCTTCGGGGGGTTTGAAAGTCGCCATTTCGTCCAAGACGCGATGGAAGTCCTCTTGTTCTTGATACTTCTCGGGCAACTTGCCACATATCTCGTTGAAGGATAGCGGTTTGAAGCACAAAACATGCGTGATGTCTCGTCGCATGGCGAGAATTCTTGAGTTTGGCTCATCATCAGGAGCAATAAGAGAAGTCCGATCGCTCAAGAGGACAATGAGAAGATGAATCATGTCCTCAACAATGTCAAGATGTTGCGCATCATCCTGAGCTTCAGACTTGAGCTCAAACAACCCCTTCACCCAGCCATCCATACCAAACCGGTCAATGATGGACGCAAGCACGCGGCTTGGATTGCACACAACCATCGCCGTCTGAAGAAGAAAAATGTCTCGATGGTGCGTTACATCCCTCTGCCCTACACCTCGATATGTGCTAGCTTGGTGCCTCAAACTTATGCCATTTCGAACCCACATATTGGCTTTGATCTGCGCCAGCCAAGCACAAACCCGCAGAGGGAAGTCAAAGGCGGCCATAAGGTAGTCCTCGGGGTCATAGTCCTTTCTTGGGATCTGTGGCCGTCCCATCAATCTTGGCTTTGATCTCAGCTCTTGGCCAGTGAAGCTCATCAATGCTCGAATGCTGGATGCAGGCAGTGAGCGACCGCATTCGATGAGCCAAGACAAGGTGTAGTGCAAGGCATGGTGGAAGCTGATGGAATCTTTCTCAACAACAAATTTGACAACTTCGTAGGAAGCATTCTCTGTGTCAAACTCAAAGTCGGTTAGCGTCTTGAATTTCACCTCATCCTTGATCTCCCCTTGCTTAAACCTATGACGTTCTGCGCCTATGGAGTTCAAAATTACAGTCTTTGAGGTAAAACGAATGGCTCTCTGGAGATAGTGAATTTCATCAGGCGGACAGTCTCGGAATGCCTCGGCTAGGATTCTTGCTTGGAGATTGATTTGCCGTGTGACTAACGAAGCTGTTATCCAAGAGTCTGCTTCATACTCGACATGCTCAACCACTGCTCGCACGTTTGGTCCAATGCACTGGTGAAGCTTCACCAAGTCCAAAAACTGCATCAAATATCGAGGCTCGGATCTGACTCGCTCTTGGACGTGAGGAGATCCAAACAGGTATTTCAAGTCTTGGTAGAAATGGTACATTCGGCGATTGGTCACTGACCCGCTTTCGAACGCAAGGACGGCGTCGGGAGAAACATCCCACGGATGGCCAACTTGTCGAGTAGTCAAAAAGGTGTAAAGAATAGCTAGCAGGCTGCTCATGAAGTTTCCTCGCTCCACAACTTCAGCGGTTATCGATGGAGTTGTCAGCATCTGCAGCGACAGGTTGATAATAGAGTGATCCGGTTCCCTATCCCCAACCAGGTACAGTTGCGCTAATATTGTGTAAAGGCTGGCAAATCTCAAAGCCAAAACACGCTTGAATTCCGGCACTGACACCACTGTTGAGATATAAAGCGAGCGAAGGTCGATCCTGACCTTCTTCCACATCCGCAAGTCAAAAAGAAGCAGCCAATCGAGGCGTACACGTTGGAACACGTCTTCAGCCGGGGGCACATTGTCTCGCTGTGTATAGACTTGTGGGGTTTCGATCCAGTACCTACCAGGTCGAGGGGCGGGCTTTTCTGTTTTCCCTGGAGTCTTGGGAATATCAACGTTTGCTTTGGCATAGACTGCGGGTGCAATCAAAGGATCAGCCGTATCAGAATCCGAGGGAGTACCATCCCGTTCTCGCCGTGCCGCCCTTGCTTGAACTGGCGGCGGCGGCGGCGGTGGAGGATAGCCTGCCATTGTGGCCTCGTCTTCTTCCAGAGCCTGATCCGATTGTGACCAGTTCATACCCAGATCGCCAACGTCTCCTCTGGCATCTACCATCATGACATCGTCGTCCTCATCCTCGTCACCGCCCGCTACTGAGCTAGTGGGCGACTGGCCATCATCATCATTGTCACCCATGTCTGCATCGTCATCCTGGTCCACGTCCTCATCTCCTCCGTCAACATTAATTTCAAGATTGCCACCAGGAGCAGCTGCAGCCTGTAGCGCCCTGATAAAGTGCACGTTAAGGCCGTGTATCCTGGTTTGTGACATTATATTCTGCTCATCTTCGTCTTCGTCGTCAATAACGCCTGATGTGTGAGAAGCGTGGCTTCCCTGACGCCAGGTTTTCATCATCTCGTCGCAGACTGTTCGCCTAAGGATATTGTTGTCGTGCCCAATGGAGCAGCCGGAAATATCGCTCAGCCATTCAACAAGCGTGCCACACATTTGTTCACGGAATGTGTCTCGCGCCGACCTAATTGTAACTGTGACTCTGATAGCCTCCATGATCTTGGCCATTTGAAGTAGCATATCAATGTCGTTTAGATAGATCAAGATACTTCTCCCGACAGCATCAGTTTCCCAAGCATCCTTGGCAGCCTCCCGTCTGGTCTTCCTACATGCCCTAGCAATCTGATCCTGGACTTCTTGGACTGTGTGTTTCTCGTCATTCCACAGGATGAGGGCAAATTCGTCGCAGAATGTGGTCTCAGGACCGTAATAGACAGATGTCAGTCGCGACGCCTCCTCATCTTTCAAGATTGATTCTTTGGTTTTTGCCTGCCTCAGCTGTTCTGGGGAGCAGGAGATGACGTCGCAGATGTAGTCGAACACGCGACCGATGGTCATACGAAGGCTGTTCAGAAGGTCATCTGGCAGCCCGACAGCTTCTTTGCCTTTGCCCTTTGCCTGCCCGGATTTCATGTCCGAATGTATAGTGCAAAACAATGGCGTCTTCCAAGCTTCGTCATCACCACAGTCGCAGCACCCACTGTTTCCAACAGACATTTGTATTCGAACCATGTGACCGGTATGATCTGTTGAGTCGTAGCACCGGACGCAGAGACAACACGTTTCGTCGGTTCCGCACGTCCGGCACATGTAGGTCGCCTCGCCAGGTTTGAAGATGTGTCCGCATCGCTTGCCACGGGCTGCTTCGGTGTATTCGGCGCCTTCGACGGCACCCTGGGCATCACCAAGCTTCAGGCTGTCGGAGGGCTTACCCTCGGGGAAAAGAAGTCGCATGTAGTCTTGATTGCCACCCGCCAGAGACCAAAACAAGCTCGTTAGAAGCTCCCGTGCTGCATCTTCATCGTAACGATTGCAAAACCGGGCAGGCAGGTCCGCCAAAAGCTGGCAGAGCTGCTGCTCCTGCGTAGACATTTCGGGTTCCATTCTCATGAGCTCATGATTTCCGCCGATCCGATCCAGACGGTACGCCCATAGACGTTGTGGGAGAGACGGTCCGGCGTCAAGGTGGGAGAGGTGGATGCTGGCAGCTCGCCAAGGTGCTTGCTGACAGTTATCAAAGATAACGGGTACTGATGCCCCATCAATAACAGTGGCGGGCAGGATGGAGAGGGCAAGTTCTATGCGAGAAAAATGGTGGCAACAAAGCACATGTGGACTGTCGAGCTATCGGAGGGCGATCCGCGTGGAGTTGATGTTCAAACGTTGCGTGGTGTGAAGAGCCGGGTGGCACTGGATTCGATTGATATTTTTACCCCTCTGTGTGCTCAAGGAACAGCTGGCGGTCTACGTTATGGCGTTGACGGCATTGGGAACACTAGTGCTCTGGGGTGCCAGCGGCGCGATGCAGGCGCCTGGCACTGCCATCTGGGCCCCTAACGGCGGCAATTACAGGGCGGCCAACAGCTGTCGTACGACCCGGGCGCCTGTTGGCCAGTGTCCGGTGAAGTACCTGGGTAACCGCCAGGCACTTTCAACTGTACATGGCAAGGTCAACTGGTACGACTAAGAGACATCGCCGACCAACATCATCCAACGCGGATGAGAGCAGTGCATGCTATTTGACCCGAAATAACAAGACGGTGTGTCCCATTTAGAAAATCTTTGACCACGTCTCGCCTTCTCACGTCACGGCGCTGGCACTGTCGTACGGCTGTGCAAAGCCTCATATCCGATTCGCACGTGGCAAAACGTATTGCGCGAGCAAACGGTGATGCGTGAGATATCAACTCTATTGATTTGTGAATTGTACAAGTCTAGAGACACAGGGGCCCATGACTGCCTACCCATTTCCGCGGCCTTCAATTGTATATCGTGAACATAGTTTACTCGTCGTCCTCACCAGTCTCCTCAACATACTTGCTTCGAATATCCTTCCATTGTCGCTGCCATTCCCACATTAGTCCAGTACCACATCTGTTCCCATTCGCATATGAGGACTTACGCCGCGGTTGTGGTTGTCCCACCACTTGTTAACACCGTTATTGAAGCCGCTACAATGAGAGGTTAGTAATTGCCGAATTCCGGTACGCCATTTATCAGGGTGAGGTCCGTACACTTCGAATGCGAAGCCGGCAGTGAAGACAGCCGCCAACATGGCGTAGTTCTTTCGGAAAAGAGCGCTGCAGCAAGTCGTGTTAGCTTCTCCGGGTCGTGGGAGTGGTCGTTCGGCTTCGATCGAGGGACTTGCCTGTAGAACGAGTTGACGAGAGACTGTCGGATGAGCGATTAGCTGCGAGTGTCGGCAGAAGGGTGCGCGGTCAATTCGGAAGCTTACCATTATGACTGCTTCGTGCGATTGAGCACTGGAGGATACGGTATCGGAAGGTGATGGGCCGCAAAGCTGTCGAGGGATGAATTTCCTCCGAGGTTTGGGGAGACTGATTCGAAAAGGTGCCGGGGAAATTCGCGATGGACTGAGGCAGCCTTTGTCTGTTCTCGGATTGGCCAGGCCGCTTCCAGTGCGGGTCCTTCAAACCCGAGGTACTACTACTATAGCCTAGCAGCAGTGATGCAGGAACCACCTGTGCAAGCTGTTATGTCGTTTGGGATGCAAGATGGTTTGTTATTCCTGAGGACCAGTCTTCGCAATTACTTCCTATAGGTAATTATCTACCTAGTAGCTATTGTATATATTCAAAAAAGGGGAAAAAATAAGCGACGCGTAAATCCCTGCTTCAAAACCTGGTGACCAACGAGCAAACTCTTATAAAAGGAATAAGATTTGTTAACATGTCTTCGAGAATTCTTACTCTATTGAATTTTTTTCTTGACTCGGTTGAGTCTGCTATTCTACTTCGTATAAAGCACATTATGCACTCACTCGCAAGCAGGTTTTGACTCTGATGTACTCAATCGACCAAGCATAAAGTTATGTGGGGTCGCTTTTCAGGAATGTGACGACTTTCGCCCCGCGCCCAATCGACACAACAGCTCATCCTCGAGTTCCTCTGTCACGGCAGCAAACACAACTTTTTGAGACGGACAGCTAGGTGTCGTCCATTCATATCTTACAACTATTTCTTCCCGTAGACTTCTGACGACATTATCTCTGCCCAACCCACCTGCCTAGGCCTTCTGAATCCTAACACTTTTATCACAAGCCCTGCGGCCGAGCTGTTTGCGATGCCTTCGCAGGCCACCACCACCAACGCGGGAATTGTTACGGACGAGAGCAGCGGACAGCGCCACATCCCCGAATCCCTCCGCGCTGATGGAACTACCCGAAAAGCCATCAAGATCCGACCTGGCTATCGTCCACCAGAGGATGTCGAGGTTTACAAAAACCGAACTGCTGAAGCCTTTCGGGAGCGAGGTCGAAGAATAGGCATTCCTGGAGCCGCAGGCATGGAGGAGGAGCAGTCAGATAAAAATTCTTCAGCAGCCGGCAACAAAAACGCAAAGCGGAGAGAAGCTCGCAAGCGGGCCAAAGCAGCTGCGGACGACGACGTCGCAGGCGAACCCAAGCCGACAACCGTGGAGACACCAAAGGCTGAAGAGGTCGATCCGGAGGTAGAGCGAGAGAAAAAGGCCCGCAACCTTAAGAAGAAGTTGAAACAGGCCAAGGAGCTCAGGAACAAGAAGGAAGGTGGAGAGGCGCTCCTACCTGAGCAGATTGCCAAGGTGATCAAGATCAATGAGCTCATTCGCGAATTGGATGCTCTCGGTTTTGATACGGAGGGTGAGCCCAAGTCGAACAATGTGGTCGGGACGACAGAGGAGGACTGAGTTGGTAGGGTCTATGGAAACGGCTTTATTTGACATAACGATTGATTCATGATACGCGAAGCAACGGATGGGACGATCATGTTTAACAGACATGCTTGTGGACTACATACAAGATGAGTTGCGGCGACCTTGAGCCCCAACCACTGCGGCGTTGTCTGTCCCATATTCGGCTGTTTGGGAGTTGAGCGAAAAGCTACGGTAGTTCGTCTTTCTTATACCCGTATGAGCTACAGTGTGGCTAGCGTCGCTATTGCGTCTAGGCTTGTTGGGGACGGAGAAAAACGCTGCAAATAGCAGAACACTCTTGGGACTCTGGGGAGGTAGAAGATAGACCCATGCTCATTCAGTAGTCGTGGAATAATGCTACGATTGAAACTGACTCGTGACCATATCTTGCCAAGACAACAAGACTTGTATTGATAAAAAAAATTCATGATGATTTTCAACCGAACCTAACTATACGCGACCAAATCCTGTGGCATTTCGAGGTACTTGGCGGTAGACGGATGAAAGAAAGATTGGTGGTAACTAATCATGGTGCACACCGTAGGGTAGGTTGCGTCGCGAGGATTGGACGTGATCTTGAGCTCCGACCTTCTGCCGGCTGTGGCAATTAGTGGCTCCGCCGAAGGCTCCAGCGCGTGAGGTAAGCTTCCCATTGACCTCAGACAGTCAAGCAACCACCACATCACCCGCGATACCTGTCCGTTGTGCTTACGGCTTTTTATGTGCTGAAACCCCAATCCCTCCACGAGCGCGATAAACCGACGTCATCTATCGATTTCCGCCGATACACTAACTCTTTGGACTACGATACACCCCCGTTGGTCGCCGTTATCATGACGCCCGAGGAAGAGCGCCAGGCCGCCCTCGACTCGTACCGACAGAAGCTCATCGAGTCACGGGAATGGGAAGCAAAGCTGAAAAACCTCCGACTAGAGATCAAGGACTTGCAGAAAGAGTTTGACCGCACTGAAGACAATATCAAGGCCCTACAAAGCGTGGGCCAAATCATCGGCGAAGTCTTGAAGCAGCTTGATGATGAGAGATGTATGGACAGCCCTGCCCAGCCACTTTGCCAAACTCTGCCTGCGAAACGCAACCAATCCAAAACATGGAATGCACTAACGCCTTGGGGAATACAGTTATCGTCAAGGCTTCGTCAGGGCCTCGATATGTCGTTGGCTGCAGATCCAAGGTGGACAAGGAGAAGCTGAAGCAAGGCACACGTGTTGCCCTCGATATGACAACCCTCACCATCATGCGCATGCTCCCCCGCGAAGTTGATCCTCTGGTTTATAACATGTCCTTGGAGGACCCGGGACAAGTCAGCTTTGCTGGTATTGGAGGATTGAATGACCAAATCAGAGAGCTAAGAGAAGTAATTGAGCTGCCGCTCAAGAACCCCGAGCTCTTTCTTCGAGTTGGCATCAAGCCTCCCAAGGGTGTGTTGCTTTACGGGCCACCTGGAACTGGAAAGACCCTCCTGGCTCGAGCAGTGGCCAGCAGCCTGGAAACAAACTTCCTGAAGGGTATGTTGAAATTTCCCTTTTTAAAAAAAGGAGAGGCGGATGTTTGTTCCTCTACATGTGATTTTTTAAAAACTGACGGTGCCCTGCAGTCGTTTCATCAGCCATTGTTGACAAGTATATCGGCGAATCTGCACGACTTATTCGCGAAATGTTTGGCTACGCTAAAGAACACGAACCTTGCATCATCTTCATGGACGAAATTGATGCTATCGGCGGTCGTCGTTTCTCCGAAGGAACTAGTGCCGATCGTGAAATTCAGCGAACCCTGATGGAGCTCCTCAACCAGCTAGACGGTTTCGACTACCTCGGCAAGACGAAAATCATCATGGCAACCAACAGACCTGATACCCTCGACCCTGCATTGTTGCGTGCCGGTCGTTTGGACCGCAAGATTGAGATTCCCTTGCCGAACGAGGTGGGACGGTTGGAGATTCTCAAGATTCACGCGCAAAGCGTTGTTTTGGATGGAGATATCGACTTTGAGAGCGTGGTCAAGATGAGCGACGGATTGAACGGCGCTGATTTGAGAAACGTGGTGACGGAAGCGTAAGTTTATTGCTTCCGCAGAGTGGTCCTCACGGATGATGCAAAGCTAACTATCCTGCAGGGGTCTGTTTGCTATCAAAGACTACAGAGATTCCATCAACCAGGACGACTTCAACAAGGCAGTCCGCAAGATGGCCGAGGCGAAGAAGTTGGAAGGCAAGCTAGAGTACCAGAAGCTGTAAGATTCAGCGTGAAACTTGAAACCAGATCCCACGCTTTAGACGAGGTTGCGTAGGCAAGGGTATTAGGTGGAGCGAGAGCGGCGTTCAGTGTCAATCTTGTAAGACTGTACAATAAAATGGGTCGTCACAGTTTGACGTGCTCTGCTAGATCCTCGATAGGGTTAAGAGATATTTGAACTTGATGATTTCCAGTGGGTTGGGCGTGAATTGGCTGTTTTCCCCTTGATATGGGGCATTTGGCATGGCGAAAGATGGATATCCTGTTTCCTCCCCCGGAGCTAAAGGATGATTCGGCATCTGCATAACAGCAAAGAAGACGTATAGTTGGACCGCTCAATTAAGCTATACCTGAGCAGGGCATTGCTTGTATTGTATTTCTTGCAGTGTTGAGTTGCATAGCATGTTATCAAAATGTAGAATTCTATAGCCAGATTAGCTTCTAACTAGATTTATTTATCAAGCCAACAAATACAACAAGAAGAAAAGGGCCAGAGGTCATGTTAGACATCTAGCAACACTATGTTTAGCCGCACCTACAGGGAACCGTAACTAACCGCGCAATACACCATGAGTACAGAACTAGCGAAAAGGTAAACACCATGTGCTAGTAGTTTATCCTCACCGCGGAGGGCTAATTAGTTTTTATATTAAAGGACATGGTAGTGTAATAGCTACCGAGTCATATTGGGCAAGGTCCTGTGTCGTATTGCACAATACTCCATGCAGTGATTTCGTCAAACTCTGCGAATCACGATCCTCTTTTGTAATTTCCCAATTGGGACAACAACATGCGGCCTTGAATGCAATAAAGGCCCTTGGATTCCTTGCAATCGACTCGAATAGCTTGCCCTCAGGAAACCCTTGTCAGTGGACGCTCTATTCATGCGTACTCGATTTGATGTGGTTATTATTATTACTAGTCATATTGACTAGTGGATAGGTACATGTTTCGGAATGAAACATACTGCAGAGTGTCACTCGCCTGTTCCGTCCTGTCACAGATTCATGTGCCGTCACGCTCGCCCGCTTTTCCGCTTTGCGAAGGCGAATTTCGGGCTTTGATTTTTTTTTTTTTAAAGCAAGGAATAATAATTCAAGGGGTACAGACTCACAGAGTTATCCAAATTCATCTTGGACAAGTTGAGGCCGTATTATTGCGAGATTTCTTCATACTTCTCAAGCAACTACTTGGGGTAAGGGTTAAGGCTAGGCTTAGGGTTCAGGTAAGGACTAGGGTTAGGATATGGGAATCCTAATTAGGCAGGAGCAGTAGTTGGGTCAGGGGAACTAAACACACAGCTGTGCTAAAATAGCACGACTCGAAAATCAGTCACCCTGATAGCACTGCCCATTGGTGCAAATCTTGTCAAGTGGAGACCTTTTTTTAACCAGTACATGTACATTATGTACTGTCACGGCCCGGCCCGAGTGTTCCCCAACTTCAATTTGAATGTGGGCACGGCCAAGAAAATACTAGTACTACTACATCTCACTGTCCATGTACAACTGGCAATTTGGGGCTACAACACGGTGAGAGCAATGTGATGAAATACGAATAGTGGAGGTGATGTGGTACTTGACTGTCGCTCGATCTGTGAAAACTTGGATAATGCCCGCGTCACTCTCCTCGTATACCGTCAACTCAACCTTGCCATCCTCTCTCAGTACTGTGTTTGGCTGAACAAATTTTCACCCCGGCTCAGGCTTAGGCGCGACGATATGCCTCCAAGTTTTGTACTCACCATCCACACAGCTAAGCGGCTCGTAGAAACTTCTGCAAGACTCAACATCCGCAGTACATCGCCAGATATCGATGCAGCACAGCATTTTCGAGGCGAACTGTTGCCTCAAAAGCAGGTCCTAACAGAGAGCTGCCATGGCCCGACCTGTTTGTTTGCTGAACGGAATGCAATATCAACTGCCTCCAAGAAGATCTGTTTGCCGGTTCTGTGTCGTAACGAGGTCGTTTTGGCAGCTCTGCCGTCGGACTGATGCTATACGAAACGAGGCCGTGGTATACTCAGCAATTAAAAAGAATCATGCCGCCAAAGCTCCTCATGCTTGCACAGTACATGACTTGCCTACTCTCCAGCTAGCCCCACACAACATTTGAGACCGGAGTGGTCGCTCCAAGGTACAATCTGGTCACTTGGCTTCACGAGCCCCGTCTCACCGCATACATTCACAGCATCCTTGATACTGGCATTTCTGTTCCCGTCATCCGACCCTAGATCAATGTTGTCTGGATGCATCACCTCTATGTGATATGGCCGCAGTCCAACTAAAGCTACTTTGTCCAGACGACCAGGCGGAAAGGGCTGCTTTCCATCCACACCCCAGGTAAACCCAGGCTCATCTGGATGCAGTTCATGCCATGCGTCGATGAGATGATTTTCCGATATAAGCGTGGCGTCCTCGGCTAGTACAGGGTTGAAGTCGCCGGCCACAAGGCCACGGCTTGCACTTCGGAGCACAGATGCGACAATGGAGAGCTGTCGTGGTCGCTGTGATGGCTGTATAGGCAGCGAATCAAGGTGCACGTTCACCAGTCGAGCGCGCACGACATCCGCTTCACCGCTGGGGGATTGTGCGGATAAAGGTAAAAAAATATCGCAACAGAGAGCGTCTCTGCCGAACCGGCTTGGGTATTTATACCTCCACACTGGACCCAGCGATCCATTGGCATGATTGAAGCGTCGTTTTGATACGAGTGCCATGCTCGCAAAATATTGCCCGTGCCAGTTGGTCTCATCGGCCTCGCTGGAATACCAGTACTGACGAACGTGTGCATCGCACAGTAGAGAATGCAAAGCCTGCCTAGAAACTTCTTGAAAAAAAATGACATCCACGGCAGGGGCCGAGCTTGCGATGTGTGAGACAATGGCCGAGATGCGAGTCGCCGGCAAGGCAGAGGAGGAATCCACGTTCCATGTTACAAGGACAAACTTTGAGGCCTGAATGGGCCACTGTCGTTGTTTTATTTCCCGGTTAGCACGGCCGCTGCACGTCTCGGTGACGGGCACAGATGTCCATTGATCGACGGAAGCGTTGAACTCGTGCCACGACTGGAAGGTGGCAGAGGCATCATGCAGATTTGCTGGAAGAGGGGTACTCTGCGACCACGACAAATAATGAGTGCGAATATAGGAAAAAAAAGCCATGATCACGAATGTGCCAGCACCTACATTGTTAGCTGCCGTTTTCTCGGTCGTCTTGTTGGTGGCATTTCGGTCCACGACCAAAATCTAAATGTGTTGACTGGATCGAACAGAGTGCAATGAGGTTGGTTATCCGCCAAGGCACACGACAGCATGTTTAGTCATCCGTCACATCCTGCAGCTACGGTTGAACATCGGGTTTGGTTGCCCCAACGTTTACGAAGCGTCAAGACTGCGACGGGGAAATTCAGCTTGATCGGGTGACAGGCGTCGAGTTGGAGTGTGCTGATGGGATGCAACACCTTGGCCCCAGAGCTGGAGGACAGCGAGAAGGGTGTGCCCCGTGCAAGGATACAATCAAAGTCCATCTACCTGACTTATTAATTCGAGAATTTCGGCGTGGCAACTAGGTTGTGGCTTACATCGCTGCACCATTGCGCCAACAAACTCCATCCTTGACACTTTGACCTTGTGCCTACCTCAGGTGGCTTCGACCTCGAAGTGTTGACGCCAACCATTTTTCGCTGACTGGCGTAGACAACCTTGTATTGACGTGCTCGAATCAAGGATAGTACAAGGAGGGAGAAGAGACGGACTCGGTCGGTGGCGCTGGCGGGAAAGGGGACATGAGGAAAGAAGCTTCAATCTTGGGCCAAACTATCCCATCCGATCCCCTTTGAGGACGGGGCGAGCACTAGATTGGTATTTGGGTCAGAGACGGAACCAGACGTGCCTAGTACTTGATTTTCTTCCATGTACTTTAAGATGTGCAGCTGCAGGTAGAAGGTGGCAGACAGCTGGCGTACGCGGAACCTGACATGGCGCCATTGTTGTCTTTGCCTCTACTTTTCTCCAAGCAAACCTTATCAGCGCCACACTTCGGCCTGTTGCCTATATAAATATCTTACGCAGCCAAGCAGGGCAGGAATTGTATCGCAAAGCAGCACGGTTTTACTTGGCATGCTTTTTACTGGTTGATAAAGTCGTGGGGGTGTGTGATGATATTCCTTTATTGTCAATACCAGCTTCGCGACTGAAATTTTATCTAGGCTCTAACTGGACCAGACCGAGAGCCACCACTGGGGACAAATCATGACCATTGGGAACTTTTCATCTCCGGGGGCTTGGGGCATTTAACCATGTTCTCACGAAGATAGGGACGACGGTTTATCCGTCATCAGTCACGTTACTGGGGTCGGTACCATGCACAAAGACAAACTGACGCGGGGAGCAAGTATTGGGAATGGGTTTGGCTTGCATTGGCACTTGCGGGTATGGACGGCTTCACCGTGACATCTCATAATGTACATGCAAGGGGCAATGATGCATCACGACTGAGCTCACTGGGCATTACAAAAAACACATGGCCATCATGTTGGGCAGAGAAATGTATCGCAAAGTAGCGCGGGTTTTACAGGCCGCGCCGTTTACTGGTTGACAAAGTCGTGGGGGCATATGACGATGTTCCCTCATTATCAATACCAGCTTCGCGACTGAAATTTTATCTAGGCTCTGTTGAGGATCAGAACAAGCACTGAACAGCTTGCCTGAAGACCGAGAGCCACACACAGAGACAATGATGACCATCATTCATCGGGAGGTTTTCCTCTCGGAGGGCTTAGAAAAGACCTCGTTGACTGCTGAGTCTCTGGCAATGGCATCCCCCAGAACGGACCAGGACTGGAAACCAATGAATGAAAGGAAAGTAGCCAAAGATGAATGAGTTGACTGCCATTGTCTGTCGACTGCGATGTGATGAGGAGAAGAAAAGAGAAAAGGGTTGATCCTTGGGGGAGGGGGGTCTCTTATGCCTGGAACAGAGGAAGGTAGTCCCTTCCTTGTCTGTCACGGCTCAAGTTCCTTCCTCCACAGCCATGCCTCGGGAAATTTTGGCGAAGGAAGGACAGAAGAGGCTCAATTGCCATCCTCCTTGCAGCATTTCTACACAATTCTATAATCCAATTTGCGGCTGCTGTTGCAGTGGTGCTCCCAGTACCGAGTGACCACTCGACCGTATCTAAATGGGCACATTCATCACATCATCATGTCAAACTACATGTTCATTTATTCCTTGATATCGCTTGAGCAGCATTGATACAGCTCAATTTCGGCGCTATTGCCCCGGTAAGCTCTTCCACGTCCTATTCTTTTGCAGCGAGCCCCGATGCAACGTGGAAGAGCTAAATACCACACATGTCTACCTACTTATTTGGGCAGGTATTTGCCACACCAACTGCATCATGCAACTAACCTGGATATTTATCGAGTACTCCAGCACAGCCTCGTTCGCTTCTCGACTCAACTGGACCGCGACACCTGGCAGACAAACGTAGTCCGGTGCTCATCAACCAAGATACACGACACAACGACGGTCAAGTACTACATAGAATCTGCGGTATCTCGGCATTGCACAGTATCAGCCGGGCTGCCGCTACGCTCGGCCAAGAGATCAACCATCTGCAATGTCTTTCTTGATGCCGCACTTACTGACTCTCGGGACAGGAGCTGCTGTTTTCTTGCCGTCGTCTTCTATTGCCAGCTTCTGCAATCCTTCCGTCGAAGAAAGGTACTTGTAAGAGAAAGCCTGAGGCGTTGATGCCCCTTCTCGAAGCTTCATAGGAGATCCGACTGGCTTCTTGCCCTTGGCGGTGCCCAAAGGCCCAGCGTCTTTCAGATCTTTTCAAGTGGATGCCCGCCAAGAAATAAAGACCCTTGCTAATTTTCATTTGGAAAGCTGTCAGCTTCACTGTTTTCTCTGAATACATGATATATAAGCTAATTTTACGCCTAGTCTTGCACGTAAGACCACAAACCGCCAGATAAATCTGGACCTCGTCCGATCTACGAGAACCTGGCGAACACTATTAATCAGGTCTATAAAGCCATGGAATATCTGGTGTATCTTATTTTTTCTCTGTGCTAGATGGAGATTCCTTCGCTTTTTAAAAAAAAGCTTGGCTTTCACAAGTCTCATAACGTGACATGCTTAGCTCTTTACACTAGATGTTGTCTGAGACACCCCAAGATTCTCCTGAATAAAATCAATGTAGCTGCTGACCCTGGTATATAGCCCTGGATATACGCCGCAAGTACCACCCCGGGATGACGAGGATGAAATACCAATTATATGTCTTGTCTCCTTGTCGATAAGAGGACCGCCGCTGTCACCCTGGCATGCATCCTTGCCATCCCCACCAGCGCATACTTCATCCTCGTTGTCAGTTGCATTCCGTCCCCCGAATGAACACTCCTCACGAGCTTGAATAGAAACAGTAGCCTTCTTCAATGGATGGAGTGGATCATCCTGCGGCCCTGTCCGGCCCCTTGCCTATTAGTTAGCATCTTTTCCAACAATATCCTGTTAATAGTTCTAAACCTGATAGCACTTACCAGCCAGCGACTATTGCGAAGGAATTAACCACGGGATCTGAGCCGGCATCCGGCAGTGTCGCATAGCCAATTGTCTTGCTCTCCTGAATTGGAGTTGATAATTTTAAAATGGCAATATCATGCGGATGACTACTGCTTCTACGCCGACGGAAACCAGGGTACAGTACAGGTTTCGCCGCTATAACTTGTCCGCCCGTAGTCTTATTCTATGGAATAGTTAGCTCTTCATGGTTACTCGTATTTTCTCGGCCACGCCAGGCACCAGTGACCTGATGAATGAAAAAGGGAGTATAGTTACCAGCGTCCCTGCCCGTACATGCCAACCTTCGCTCCAAATCAAGCAATGAGCAGCAGTTAGAACTGTAGTGTTGTCTAGTAGACTGCCTCCACATGAGGGACCATAAGTATCGTCAATAATTGTAACGATAAATGGGAATTCACCATCCTTGACGGCTTCTCCGCCAAAAATCCTCTTGTCGAGAGTTGCTGCTGCTGACAAGACAGCAGAAAATAACACAGCCAGAGTAATGACAATCTTGCGTACCATTGTAACGATGGGAGTTGTGGATGGGTTGCTAATAGTAGGCGTATAAAAGAGAAACGTATAAGATGGCACGTCAAGATTTGGATGGGTTGTCTGCTATATTCATCCTGGCACCTATATATAGAGAGAGACCAAGTAATACAAGAAGCGTAAGGGACTTGGAATTACAAATGTAAGCCAGTATTTATGACTCGTTGGCATGATTTGAAACATATACACATCCCCAGGCTCATCTTAAATCCAAGCATGTCGTATCTACAGTGGGGTGAGAGGGGGCAATTCCCCTGTGCTACTCGGTATCAGTTTTTGCATGAGATGATTGATGATTGCCGTATGCCACGACGTGATGATACCTGTCATGCATTACTATCGGCCGCCATGCTTGGACAAAGTGCCCAGTAGCCCACTCGGCCTACTAGGGGTCCTACGAGTCAAGGTCTATTAGTAGTAAAGTCAGTCGCCTAATCGTGCTTATTAAACTAATATATTAATGTTCAGTTGTTTCGCTCTGTAGTCAAATGAAATTACACGCATGATACTATTAAACTAATATATAAGTAAACTTACTAATTCTTATAAAAAAATTAACTAGGAGAAAATAGTATAAGAGAAAATCCCCACTATAATTTAGTAGCTCAAGTCCCTTTGTCAGTCTGCTCGCAGTCAGTCGCTGCGTTTAGGATCACGGCCCTACTTTTGGTGACATCGCATAGTTTTGCTTCTTGTGCCCCGCTGCATGTCCTGCCAACTTGCAAGAAACGCCCTGCGACGCCCTCGTCTCTTATGCCAATAATTCTCTAACTCTGTAATCGACGAGAAAGTGGATATGAGAATTGACAGCGCAGCAGGGACTGCCCTGTTTGGTTATTCGAATATTGCAGGGGAAATATCTGAGCTACCGAAAACCAACAACTAATCGACTCGTGGTCTATATTGATAGACTACTTTGCATGAACCGCTTCGTCTAGGTCCCTAGATAGATAAGCACAGATTCATGGTTATTTTCGTGTTGAACAAGTCATGGCCCTGCACCTCACGACATGACTAGACACATACCAGAATGGCGAGCTATTTTGTATAAACCCACGGCGGATAAGTCATTCAACGAGTCAAGGTCTATCGTGGTGCCTCAAGTCAAAGATTAAATCTGAGGACTATACTTGGCGGGGATCTACTTAACAAGCAAGAACTTCCGGTCTGTTTGTTATAGAGACTACAAAATTGCTATCACAGCGCATCCCGCCAGGGGGAGCAATAGTTACATCGCGCAAACGGACAGACAAGCAGGCAAGTGGTGTTTTCATGCTTCTTCCTGTCCTTTAAACGGCCAGCCGCCGTCTTAAAGGTCATGCCGCAAGCAGGCTGCTCACAGCGATAAATGCGCCTAGGGTCAGTATACATCTATTAGCCTCTTACGACTAGTTACCGCCGTGCCAGCATGGAGAGGCAGCAACTTACCGGTCAATGGATTGGCAATGCGGTCAATGGATTGGCAATGCGGTCAATGGATTGGCAATGCGGTTGATGGATTGGCAATGCGGTCGATGGATTGGCAATACGGTCGATGGATTGGCAATGAGTGGATCAAAGAATTTGTCCTCGTCATTCCAAAGATTCCCGTCGCAGCTCATTGTTTCCAAGACGCGCCTGCGAGAAGGAAAAAAAAAAGAATTTTATTGTCCGACTCGGTCGTCTTGCAGGAGGGTAATTGCGTTGACAAAACGTGACATACAAGAGTTGTGCAGGACAAATGGTGGGACAAATGGTAGGACAAGGGGTCTCCTTTTGTGCCGTGTTTTATGACAGCCAACCAATGCCGCAGGGCAGCAGCCTCAATTTGCATGGACAAGTATACCTCTCGCCCATCAACTCGCCGTGCTATTTTCTGTTCATTGCCTTCTTCAATTGTGCAAGCTGCACCCAACATTCCATCTGGTAAACATAATGTCTTGGCCGCATCTAGGTCAGGGAACCGCGGCAAACTACCTAGGTACGCAATACACCGTGCATGAACGCATCGCCAAGATTGGTCATGCATCCCTTTGAGCGCCCAAGTTAAAAGGTATATTAAAATAAATTACTTATAATTAATATATATTATATATAAACAACTTAAATAAAAGCTAGCTATAGCTTATATATACGTAATTATAATACTAAGTATACTTATAAAAAGGTATATAAAAATTTTTCTATTATTATTAGCTTATAAACTTATATTTGTATATTCTTATAATAATTAGTACAACACCAAGTGTGACACCTTCCCTGTAGGATCCAAGGGAGACTGGGTCACCTCGCATTGAGCGCATGATAGCCAAGGCAGGAGCCCCATTGACGGCAAAGACTCTGCTTATGCTGCTGTCGAGGTATTATCGGGCACCGTAATAGGTCCTTATAGAGCCCCGCTACTAGACCCCTTAATATAATCTATATATTAAAAAAATGGAAACTAATTGTCTTTGAAAAAGTGTCAAGTACTAATTATGCTACGCCCTAGTTTTAGTTTATGCAAAGCCCTTGCTACCACGGCTCCAGGGTTATCCCCTACCATAGCATAAATAGTTCTGGGAAACGGCCTATCCGCGCTATACGACCAAGATGCGTAAATGGTTAGTTGTAAAGTATAAAATAATCCCTGTCTAAGTACCTGTCACAAGGCTATAGGGGGTACCAACACATCAATGCATATTTTTTTGGTGCAATAGTACCCACGGGTCTGGTGTTATTCGTGACATTTGTAGATGGTTAAAAGAAGCAATTTCTCATAGTAAAATCCTACTGATTTGGACCCATCAATGTACCGGTACCTAAATTTTGGACCCTTAGGGACCTGTTTTTATGCTCTAGTCAGTTAATTTATTCGAAACTAATCCCGTTTAGCATACTGACTCTTGTCTCGAGGCATTTATATAGTTGCATAATCAGTCTACTGCAGGCCGTTATGCGGCGAATCTAGAGCACGGATTCACGGTCAAGAGTAATATATTTGCCTAGATATACGTATACCTTAACAGCTATCTGCATTTTCTAGCACACAACTAGTCGTGCTAGTTGATATTTGGCGTATTGATTCTGAACCGATCTCTCTTGATTTTATCCGCAGAGTCTCATCATGAAAGTCTCTGTTACATTCTCACTATTGATTGGTAAGTCCTAATCTGCTTCCTATCAATGCCAAAGTTCTTTTTCAAGCATAACTTGGGAATGTGACGGTACAAGGGCACG